TAATTGTGTGCATGGCGACTTCAGGCAAGTGATAGCGCCATTTTACCGCTCTTTGATGTTCGCGTAAGCGGGTGGAGGCTGATCTTCCTGTCTGTCCGCAATAAACTGCATTGCAGCCGCTACAGGAGATCTTGTAAATGACTTCCTTTCTGTCCAAATAGCTAACCCTGTCCTTAGGGTGTACAAGCTGATTTTGCAGGGTATTGGTCGGTTTGTGCGCCACTTGGATTTGGTGCTTCCTCAGGTGTCTTCTAACTAGTTCAGACAGCAGTGAATTACTTTATTTATAGTACTAGTGCCTAGTAACCTCCACTTCACTTCCCCTCCTCTCCAGGGATGAGCGCACGCTCTGCTCCGGTTAGTCAACTGGTGCGGTCACTGGACCCGATGGCTGACACAGCTGCGTCTTCCCACTAAAATCCACCACAGATTACAAACAAATAGACAAAGTTTCGGATCCCAGGATTCTTTGATAACATACGAGCAGCTTGAGCGCACCCAATCCGAAAGTTGCTTACTAAAGAATGCAGAAGCTGACCGGCTGAGGGCAAAAAATGTCGGGATCGCTAAATGCAGCTGACCTACTCTAGACCTTACCTCTTGTCCCTTATTATCCACGGATCAGTGCATTCTCTGCGGAGCGGCTGGCAGAGATAAACAGCTCGTCCGCGCGTACCACAAACACGATCTGCTTCCGAATAAAACCCGCTGCGATTTATATAGAAACAAGACAACCGTTTGGATCCCAACTGTCTACGATGACCTACGAACAGCTTAAGCGTACTCAATACCTATATTATTCAGGTATTGCGCCCAAAAGCTATTTACTAAAAAGCAGAAGATGACCGGTACGGAACAACTCTTTTTCGACCTCGAAGGGCGGTTGGCCTGCTGGCTGTAGTCGACCGATACCTTCTTATATTAAATGTACTAACATACAAATAAAAGCCCCATACTTCACAAGCGGAAACGTAGGATCAGATGAACCCTGTTGACAGACGGTCGTTTGATTGGACAGTTCTTAAGTGACTTAGACACTCATCAACAATTTGCGGTTGTAGTTAGTGAACTAGGTATCTGGCCTTTTAAAGTAACGGCTTGCCGAGCGATTTCGCATCTGTGAATGCGTGAAGAAAGTAAATATATTTATTGTATTTTTTGACATATTTTTCCTTAATTGCTCAATGAGTCCTCGACAATTCGCACTTGAGCGTGTGTTATATACCCCCAGGCTTGCAACAACCAGGCTGGATCGTGTTTCATCCGCTATGAGTTTACGTGGGCGGGTTTATGAATGGACGGTCGCCACTAAATACCAAACTTTAATATGGATATCGGTTATATTTTCAAAAAAGAGCGCCATCAGCGAACGTTGGAAGAAGAGTCATAAAAACCTTTGAGAAATGTAATCACAGAATAGCAGAGGAAGACGCAAAGCAAGTTCAGCACAGAAAAGGAAAAAGGCGCAGACAGGCCAAGTGTGACAATGTTTCTTATGAAATATCACTGTTGGATTTAAAAGGAGGCTATTACCTGTGTTACTTCCCACGGCACATGTTCCGGAATATCTCCATCTGAATTGTATGAAAAGAAGAGTTAATTTGAGCATTTGAGATCTTTTTTATGTCTCTTCTATAAGTAGATTCTAAATCGAATTTCTCTGAGACGGTTCCTCACGAAAAAAACATTAAATGTGTGCATTATGGAGAGGTCTAGAAGTGATAAGTGG